TAATTTACCTATTATGATGTTTTTTTCTAAAAATCTTAATATTTATAAACTGCGAAGTAATCTTTGAAAGGTAGAATGAAGGTGTGGGTGTGACACTATTCGTAATGAGTTTTGAAAATGTGCAATTTGTGCATGGGTCTCTTGATACATATTAGGTAATCCATTTAACTTAATTCTAAAAAAAAATAAAAAAAAAGATTGTATTACTGAGAAGTAACAAATAAATATAACAAGTACAAATAAATTTACACCTACCTGATCTATCTCCTTTTTTATTCATACCACTTCATACACACTAGTTTCAAACATAACTGCTCCGGCGACCCTTCTGGTGTATAGCTGGGTTTATTTTGTGTATGAAACTATGACTTGTTAATTTATAATATGGTTTAATATTAGTTTAGTAATTCCATTACCATACAAAGAAAGGGGATATTTTTTTCAAATGATATTAATATGTGTGTGTATAGTTAAACAACCATATAATTGAAAACAAATACATAATTATTTCGTAAGCAAACAAAAAGAAGAATTTTTTTCAGTTTAAAAAATCCCAGTAACCAATTTAAAGGGAAGTTGAAATTCTGACTACAATTACTGTAGTTTAAAAAGTTTAGTAAATAAAAACCATAGTATATGGAGAAAGAAAGTATTGTTTTCGTAAAAATTTTCGAGTTTGAGTTTGAGTGGATATTTTTGAATCCCCTTGGACCAAAAAAGTGGTTTTGAAATGATGTCTGTGTGTGTGTCTGTGTTTTTGTGTCTGTATGTGTGGATGTGTGCATAGCTACATATCACACCTTTAGTCCGATTTTGGTACGTCCAAATGTTTTTTTTTTCATTTTTTTTGAAATTTTGATTTTTAACGGGAATTTCCCCACAGTTGGTACATTTCTTCCAAAAGCTGTTATGTATAAACAAGCTAAATAAACATCAAACCACTCAGGCCTATTACAGTATAGGCCTACTTGTGGAAATTTCAAGCACAAGAACTGATGAGACACTGTGTATTTCAAATACACAATAAACAAATACAAAGTTTCTCACATCAAAATGCCCAAAACAAAAAACCAAAGAATGTCTAGTCTATGTTAAATATTTATAATCAAATTAAATTAATGCAACAGTAATAAGCGTTTTAAAATAAAATTAATTTATAACAAGTTATAAGGGGAAAAGCTACAGCAGGAGTATCACTTTAAAGTTGTTACTGTATTAAGTACAACATTTACAGAAAAGCTCATTTATAATACAGACAGGAGTTTATTATAAAATTATAAATGACGTTTAAATTGAAACAATGTTTTGATTTAGTGTAACAACTTTTTTTTTTTAATTTGTACAGGTGTTAAAATAAAGATGTTAACATTTAACTTTCAATTCTTCTAAATATTATCTTATTTTATCTCATGTAGATATTTTCCTTATCCAACAAGCTCACCTCAAACAGTAAATATCAAAACTGTTTGTCCTAATAAACTATTAAAGTCTACAATCAGAGTTATAGCAAAAGAAACATTGTTGTTTCACTGTTTTTTTTTCATAATATTTCAGAAGAGGGACTTTGCATAATATGAAGGTAAATACAAGAATTGATTCTAAATACACTTTGTAAGATATGATTATTCCAATTTAACTGACAATCAAAAGTGACAATCTATCAACATTTTGACATAGTTAGTTCTATATATTGATAAAAATTACTGTATCACAAATGTTTTAAGGCCTATTCTTTGAGATACAGTATTGCCTGTTTTATCAAAATGACTAGCAACAGTGCCCGTTGTGGTTAAATACAACGGTCTCTAGTAAAATAATGGTAATGAAATCCATACACCACTTTTACTCACTAATAATGGTACAGATTAAGCACATAACATTAGATAATTATATTATGCATACTGGTAAACCAATTATTGCCATCTATAAAAATTATTGGTTTTTCTTTTCCGAGTCGGGTTAGCTCTTTTACCCAACCAATTTTCATAATTTTGGTCTTAAACTAAAGGTATGGATGTACCACAGATTTGCCATAAAGCATCGGCATTCATTTTGACGTATATTTTGAAAGAATTTAAATTTTATTATTTTTATTTTTCACTTCAATTAAAGTTGTATTCCAGCAGTTCTATATGTTACCCCTATATGTTTTGGTCTAAAAACCTTTAGTGAAATACCAGCTTTCATTTGAGCTATTGATTATTAAGATCGGACTACCTAAAACACACTGCGGAATCACAAATCAACAATAATTACAATCGTTTTAGTACTTATCTGCAATCAATGATACGTAACTCTATTTTTATGTAAGTTATTTTAATATGTCTTGGTCTTAAAATACTTCATAGGCTTTCACTTGAGATATTGATAGTTTTAAACAGTTAAGTTTAAGATATACTGTATCGCTCAATCAGAAAATATAAATTTGGTTATATCTTGGATATGGAATTTAGTTTTAGATATATTTACTTAATTCTAATTACGTTATTCTATTTGTTTTGACCTAAGAACCTTCTGTGAAATACCAGCATCCATTTGATTTATAGATTATTAAAATCGAACGTACTTAAAGCACACAGCTAAATGACGTACAACACAAATTGTTCAAAAAATGTAGTTATTTATCATTGATTTATAGTCAAACGATCTTGCTTGCAACCTCTACAGTAACTGTCGACTATGACGGGTTTAACCTAGTAAATCTTTAAAAAATCAAACTTTTATGATTATTTGCTAATCTACACAAATTAGGCTTTCCAATGACCTATTATTTAATAAAATCGGTTCAGTAGAACTTTAGATTTAATTGTACAAAGTTAAACAACAACATCTCTAATTCAGTATTTTCTCACCACTATAAATTGGGAGGTTGCTTAACGTTTTTGCAAATAACTTTGAAACGGTGAGGAAATCGACCAAAGTGGAAGGTGATATTCTGAAGGAGAATAAAATTTCCTACAAATTACAAATATGTGTTTTTTGGAAATACTCAATAAAGGCAGCCTAAAGTTGGCTACAAATATAAACTTGGAAATATAAACTTGGAAAAAAATGAGTTTTAAAATATATTATTGTTTATTTTTATTTTTTCACCTCAAATATCTAATAAAATAAAACTTTCATAATTATTTGCAAATCTACACAAATTAGGCTTTCCAACGACCCATTAAAAACAAAATCGGTCCGGTAGAAGTCTAGATTTAGTTGTACAAAGTTTAACAAAAATATATCTAATTCAGTATTTTCTCACTACTATAAATTTGGAGATCACTTAGATTATTGCCAATAACTTTTAAATGGTGGGGAAATCGACCAACGTGGATGGGATATTCTGAAAGAGAATAAGATTTACTACAAACAACTACTATGCATTTCTTGTAACTGCTTAATAAAGGCAGCCAAAAGCTGGCTACAAATAGAAACTTGAAAACAGAAACTTTAAAAAGCAGTTTTTAATGTGTTTTTGTTATTTTTACTTTTTTACCACAAAGATATAATAAAATCACACTTTCATAATTATTTGCAAATCTACATGAGTTCGGCTTTCCAATGACCCATTAATTAACAAAATAGGTCCAGTAGAAGTCTAGATTTAGTTGTACAAAGTTTAACAAAAATATCCCTAACTAACTCAGTATTTTCTCTTTACTATAAATTCGGAGGTTGCTTAGCTTTTTTGCAAATAACTTTTAAGTGGTGAGGATATCGACTAAAGTGGAAGGTGATATTCTGAAAGAGAATAAAATTTCCTACAAATTGATACCATACACTTCTTGGAAACACTCACAAAAGGCCGCAAAAAGTCGCACCCAAATAAAAAGTGTGAAAAACACCGTTTCCAATGTATTTCTTATGGAAAACATGTTTTTTTTTTAAATTTTCACCATAAATCATAACAAAAACAAACTTTCATAATTATTTGCAAATCTACACGACTTAAGCTTTCCAACGACCCATTAGTTAATATAATCGGTCCAGTAGAACTCTAGATTTAGTTGTACAAAGATTTTTAAAACTGAATTGTATATAGAATAGATATTCATGTATTACATACTCTTAAACATTATGAAATAATAGAGTAAACATATTTTTTGCATTTTTCCAGTGAAGACGAGCGCCTTGCTTTGGAGGATAAGTTTAACAAATTTCTCAACGCCAGGAAATCAGAGTAAGTATATATTGCATAAGTGCTCAAAACTTGGCAGTATTTTAAGATCAAGATTAGTCAATTCAGCCAATAGATTAGTAATTGCAATTAGTCAATCATAGACTGTAAATGAAGTTTTTCTTCATAAAACTCTTGACATGTTATACTAAAGGCTCTTGCATGATTTTATACTAAATATAACCCCTGATTTAAAAGAATGTCTCTTTCTTTATTCTGTGACATAATGCCGATATTAATTTACTAACCTTTTCTTTATTTTTTTGTTTGTTGCGGTGTTTTCGGAACAGTAATCTGACAAATGAAAATAAAATTATGTTACTTGATGCAAGTTTTCTTATGGTCCAAGTTTTATTCATAAAATTGGATCATGCTCATTTCAGTGATTCTGTCTTCATTAGATACGCATAACTCTCTTTTGTGAGCAAATATTTTTATAGTATTTTTAAGATCTAAATGCTTAATCATATGTTTATATTTGTATTTGACTGTAGAAGTCTAATGTAAAATATGTACATCGCTTGATGTCCAATAATGTCCCTTTGCTATACTATTTCTTAATAGTAAGAAATATTGATACAAATAAAAAATAATACATATAAACACAAAAAATGTATATGGGTTGCTTAAAGATTTTTACAGCAAATAAAACAGCATCGTACCAGAGACACCACCACAAATGAACCATTCATACTGACAATGAATGTTTGAGCTTTGAACTTTGAAATTAAAAGCTTGAACCGTCTGTCAAACCAGGACCTTATTTTAATTATGATAGCTGGCTTTCATATCACCACTGCTCAAATTTTGAATGGATCAATTTTGTAGGGAGGAAATGCAAATGTACCTGTTAAGAAACAACTACAGTCAGCTGTTGAGACAAGACAAGCTGCGATGTGACCGCAATGACATGATCTTGCAATCCCTCGCCAATGTGGAGAACAGGGCCTCCATGTTGACGGCCAAAACCGACAGACTGAGGCTTCTCAGGGTAAACTCTCACTTGGCTATACATCATTTAGAAGATAATAATTTGTAAATGTAAACTTATATTGGTCTGGTTTGATTTGAACTTCACTATGGCATTAATATACTGAAGTAAAGATGATAGATACAAATATAAACAGTTTGTTTCCAGTAATATAATGCTGGTTTTAAGTTAGTAGGGGTTTACCATCAACATTGGTTATGATTTTTAAATATTTGTGTGCAAAATAAAATATTGTAAACCGAGATATGTACCAGTAGAAAAATCTTATAAAAAAATATGGCTGCCAATTTCTTAAAGATATTGTTTTCATGAATTGAAACATTATTAGCTCCAACCATAGTATGCAAAGTGTATTATGATTTTTTCATATTTGTATTTAAACTTTTTCAATTGTTCCAGCAACACTATGAATCATTTGTGGACCGTCACTACCCAGGTTTGAGAAAAGCCAATGGTAGATACCGAAGTTTTGAAAGTTTGAACAGCGACCAAAATGAAAATATATCTCAAAGGTCCTTAAGTTCTTCCCCTCGAAGATTATACTCAACATCTCCTTCACCCTTCATAAGATCACCTTCTATCACTCGAAGAAATTCTTTGGTTGTTTCCAACTCAGAAATAATAAATCATCTGAGCTACAAAGTCCCTGATAAATTAAAAAGTCACTTTTCAAGGCGTATGCTGTTTGAAGACACTTTGAAAATTGAAAAAGATTCTAAAAGTTCTCAAGAAAGGGCTTCATCACAACCCACGAGTTTTCTACCTTTGAGAAATTATGAACAGGAAAACCATTTTAAAAACAGTATCCCAACATTTACTGTGAGTACAACAACTGACCAGTTTAACTTGGAACAAAAACATCTTCTTGATGGACCTTCTGATACTTTTCTTTTAAGTATTCCTTCATACAGTAACTACTCAGGACACAACAGTTTAGAAAGCAATAATACATTGCTAAACAAAGCAAGTGAAACATCTCTACACAGGAGCAGTCCTTCTCTCAGCAACAGCATCTCTAGAGATTCAAGCCCAGTTCTTGGCTCGACCCGAACTATAACACCAAAACTCTCCTCATCAAAACCACTTACAAAATCGAAAAGTTTCAGTTATATGACTAATACATACAGCCATTTTTTGCATGAAAAGCGACAACCTATAATTCTAAGAAGACCCTCTTCACTGTACCAAACTGCTACCTCTCTCAAAACTTCAAACAGAATTCCAACCTCAATGAAAAGTAATTTGTCAACCCTTCATCCTTATGAAAATACAAAATCCTCTTTCAGTGAAAATTCCTTACATCGAGGAAGGCCATCTTTCATTGAAGTAACAAAAACCCCTCAAAGAGAAAACATTAATAATCAAATAATGCACAGAGGTGTGTCTCCAACGTCAGTTAGATCTAAATCTCCTCTTACAGTTGTTGATGATATATTCAAAAAATATCTCATAAACTATGATAAAACATATTTAAGTGATCCGATTTCAGAATCTAAGTATGGTAAGTATTTATACCCCCTGAGCAGTGGTGGCCATTCTTACAGTATTCACAGTGGAAGAAATAACGTCTCATACCATTTAGGGTCAAAGTATAGTGGCGTAAGTCAATATTTGTATGATGATATTGCAATACCCCATGATAAGAGAAACACTAGTCTTCATAAAACTTATGGCAGTCAGGATTCTATTTTAAGTAATGATATTCAATTGAATACCCGTGAAAGAACCAATTTTTGCTTTGATGAAAAGAAAGACTGGAAAGAATGGAGACATTATAGATGTCGATATGAATATCCTCCTCTATTGCAATCTGAAAGCTTTCATAAAAAGTCAGGGTTCTCGGATGACACATACAATCGAAGCATGGATGAAAGTAATCCATACAATAGAATCACTGAATTCACACCACATGGATATGCTGCTGATACACAAACTGAGTACTCATACACTCCGAACTGGAGCCGTGAGGATTATGATGATTACAGTCCATATGGAGTCAAAAGTAATTATAGTAACAATTTACCTTATGAAGGAAAATTTACCCCAAAATACAACCCTGCATCTAATGAAAACTTGAAAAACCCTCCCCAAACTCCAAAAAAAGTATCATTTAGCAATGAGTTTCTGTACAATGATAAATCGGACACAGACGTTAGCTCAAACTTAGATGAAGTTACAACTCCTTTTGAATGTTTTACAAATTCTGAAAAAGAAAGTTTGCTTAGTGAACACTTTCCTAAGAAAGTGCATGGCTATCAAAGTCATGATGAAGACATAAGCTTTCTTAAAGAAAGTATTCCATATCATTCAAGCAATGGTGGTAAGGAATCAGAAGATAGTGAAAACAAAAAACAATCATCCTTGGAAGAGAAAGCATCTCTTAAGAACCCAATGTTTGGTTCTAACACAGAACATTTAAAATATTCAGAAGAAAATGAAAATGACAAAAGTATTAGCATCCTAGAAAACAAAACCACAACTAGTAAGAATAACATCCTTAAGCCCACATTTGAAAATGTAGAAGAAAATAGTATTGAAGCACTGGATAAAACCTCGATTGAGGATTTAGCCAGTACAAAAGGTAGCATGCACAATCACAACACAGATACACCACTTGGCCTGGTATCTAGAAATGACAGTGTGCCAGACACTACAATAGCAAATGAAATACACAGAGATGATGGAAATGAGAGGATGCCATCTATTGAAAAATTAGGTGATAGTAAAAAATCTTCTTCTGAGCTTGAAAATGAACATTCTAAAACAACTAGTTTAAAACCCTCATCATTAGACGTAGATTTTGATCATTGTAAAAATGTTTCACCTAATAATACAGGTGGCGTAGAATCTGACATGGAAAATACACAAACAAACATAGGACAAGACTCTATCCAATCATTGTCAAGCCAAGATCAACAGCAGAAAGATGGTAGTTTGGTAAATATGCAAGGTAGAAAGGTTGAAGAACTTGATGAGTTACAAGCTAAAAGCGATGTTAGTTATGATGGAGATAATCAGGTAGTTCAAGTTCAAGAACAAAAAAGCGCTAATGATTCTCATTCTCCTGAACAGTTTCAAGATCCAAACACATTCATACATCAAGACATGACAGAGTATCCACCTAATTATGATACTAAACCAAATACTAAACCCGAAAATCTGTATGAGAAGGAACAAGAGGGTTACGTAAATAAAGAGTACGTTGAACATGAACATGGAAAAGAAAAGTATGAATCGGAGAAAAAATCAACGAAATCATCAAATGAAAATCAACCTTTAGAATATGAAGAGAAAAACTTCAGAGGTAGTCAACAGGACATTCAAAGTTATTCTCAAAAGCAATATGAAGATGAAATGTATACAAATCCTGCCAAGAACGCTGAACATTACCTGCCTGTAGGTTCATCTGAGAATTATGTGGCAGAACATGAAGGTGAATATCCATCAGAGTACACTGAACAACATCATGCTCCTGAATTACAAGATTCATCAAGAGTCCCTCCAAATGCACCAGAACAGTATAAAACAGATTATAATACAGAATATCAAGACGAACCCCAGTATGGTTACAACAAAGTTGATGCTACATATGATGATCAATATGAGAAAGGTGACCCTCAGTATAGTCAGCAACAGCAACCTCCCTATGATCAGTATCAACAAGAGCCTGGTGGACTTCCATATGATCAGTATGACCAACAAACGGCTGAAGTTCCTTATGGTCAATATCAACAACCGACGGCTGAAGGTGTATATGATCAATATGAACAGCAAACTGCAGAAGTTCCATATGACCAATATGAGCAACAACCCGCTGAAATTCCATATGATCAGTATGAACAACAACCACCAGAACCTCCATACGATCAGTACGAGCAACAACCGGCAGAAGTTCCATATGATCAATACGAGCAACAACCAGCAGAAGTTCCCTATGATCAATACGAGCAACAACCATCAGAAGTTCCATATGATCAATACGAGCAACAACCTTCAGAAGTTCCGTATGATCAGTATGAGCAACCACCAGCAGATGTTCCGTATGAGCAGTATGAGCAACAGCCAGCAAATGTTCCCTATGATCAGTATGAGAAACGACCGGCACAAATTCCATATGAACAGTACGACCAACAACCAGCTGAAGTTCCATATGATCAATATGAGCAACAGCCATCAGAAGTTCCCTATGATCAGTATGAGCAACAACCATCAGAAGCTCCGTATGATCAGTATGAGCAACAACCAGCAGAAGTTTCGTATGATCAGTATGAGCAACAACCAACAGAAGTTCCTTATGATCAGTATGAGCAACAACCAGCAGAACAATATGACAATCAGTACCAAGGAGCTGGTGACCAGTATGATAACTATAACTATCCCTATGATCAAACGCCAACAGTAGAACAGACTTACACGGGAGATCAAAGCCAAAATTATGTAGAAGAAACTCAACCTTATGATTACAAAGAGCCTCAACAGCAGCCTTATGATGAACAGGAACCTTATGGAGCAAATTTACCATATGAAGAAACCAAACAAATCCATCCAGAACAAGTATACAATACCGGTACTCCAGACTATGTGCCTAAACCAGATGATAGTCAATATCCAACACAACAAGGTATGTACCCTTATTTTATTTTTTCATTTTTGTGGTTGAGATTCAAAAATGTACCAGGTCATTATGCCAGCTATGCGACCACTCCTGGGTTAAACTTATAAAATATAGACATGGTACCTAGGAAAAAAGCTCTTTTAAAAATTATTATTCTCATTTTAAAAATTATAGTTAATATTTAAAATAAAAAAAGAGTTCTCACAACTAATTAATGCAACTACCATCACATTCTTGTTTTTTCAAAACCCATCCTCATCTACAGCTAAAAAAAATATATACTTAAAATTAAATTATTAATCTACATGCAATTTATGCATAGCTGACCTAACAAATATACAGGTGTAAATTCTGCTACTATTTTCTTTGTTAATTATCAGCTTTAAATATGCTGACACTTTATCATTTCTAGCCATTACAGATATAAAACGATATCACTTTATTTATAAAACGAAAGGAACAAAATGGCATTTTTTATCATGGAACCTCTAATAGTGTATTATAACATGTTTAATGTTATTGTTAACTTACTGGTAGTACTTTAAGTGTCTAAATCACTTAAGACATATAGTTTTTTGTAAGCATGATTTGGTAATGACAAGATGAATTTAATACACTGTCAATAATTTGATATGGTTAAATTAAATGTCAAAAATGTTACCTAATGACTTTTATTATTGGCGATAATGATTTTTTCAACAACTTGACTGAATGATGTTTCAGAGGAATTAGCTACCCCTTATACACAAGAAGAGCTCAGCTCCAGGTAAATTATATTTTCTATTATTTTTTTTATACCAACACAATATAATAAATTTAAGTGACATTGAGGAGTCAATAAAATTATACGGTAGTTCTAACAAACTGTGTAATCCATGTCAATAATTTATTGTTGACCCCAAAGTTGAAACCTTTTTTTAAACTGTGACAGTACTTTTAAAATTTTACTGCACAATTTAAAACATAGTGGTAAGGTACCGTAGTAAAAAAATTTTTTTAATAAAATGTACCCAAAAATGTTACATTCACAGCCAACAATTTATTTCAGAGAGGCAAGAGAACCTACTCTTACAATGAAGCAGATATTGGAGTCCGATTCAGAGTCTTCAGCTGTTCAGAAATCTGCAACTCAGGAAGACAGCAGCGACTTTGATTTTAGTAACAGCCAGAAGTGAGCCACTACTGAGCCAGAGTAGAGTAAAATAATGCATTAGCAGACATTTGTCAAAAAGCAAATCTTCTATAACATGAAATCAGATTGAATAGTTTACTGTATTGGTGGAACTAAACCGATTGAGAAGCCCTGAGATCAATTTGTTTGGTTAAAAACATAATCGAAAAATCTGGGTTAGTAGTCATTGACTAGTATATGGTATACTGTAATTATTAATGACATTTTCTATTTCTGGATAGTTTATCGATCAATTCACAGTGAGACCTACCCCACTTATTACTTGGGCTCAAACAATTGACCTTATTTGTCGAACACTTGATGACATACATATTTTTATAGTCTCCTATCCATTTTTATCTCTGGCCATACCTCAGTGGGAGTCATGACTTGCTGTCAACACTACTACTCAACTCATCATGTATAAACCAGCAGCAGAGCATGTTTGTACTTGTCAACACAACACACGCGAGCAACATAATTTTATATATACTTGAAGAGCAATGACCATAAAGTGGCACAATTTGAATCCTCGTAAAAATTGTATGCCCTTTTTTACAAGTAACTTTTAACAGTGGATTAGCATTGAGAAAATTAAATGTAACAATTTACAGCAAATCTACTATCTTCTACCTAATACATAAACTTAAAAAAAATTCCCGCTTTAAATCACAGGTGATTTCTATAAAAGAAACCAAACTGTGTATTACCTATGTACATATTTTGAATAGCAATTCTATCAGTCCAAAAAATGGATGACTTAAGGATTAATTTATGGATTGGCTGATTGATTGGTTTTACCTTTGACTATTAATTTATGGTATTACCATTTCAACCAAATAACAATGAAAGTAGTCATAGGAATTTTCCAATTAATTCAATAAAAATGGTGTAGGGCCTATAGTTTGGGATTACAGTCTCAATTCCCTACTTGGTGTTTTGATATAAATAAACAATAACTTAAAAACTAATTTTATTTTCAGAAATTCTTTAAAGGTTCACCAACTCTTTAGGCTTTGCTCTATCCTGAACATTTTTCCATCTACACCGACCCCGTTAGGCGGCCCTGAGCTTTGAGATCTGATATATTTTCACATCAATGTCCAAAATGTGATATGAGTGGTATTTCAAACATGATTGTAACTAATATATATCAGGTAAAATAATAGAGATTAAAATGCTTTGTAGTACTATATTTAAATCATGAATGAAATATTGACACAAAATAAGTTATTTAAGTAGTGTGCTGTTAAGTAATATAGTACTTATGTTAAGTTGCTTTACATATGTAGATACAAGCTGCAAGTTGTATATTAGACACAAAGACATAAAATAATGTTAATTTATAATACATAAAAGAGTTTTAAATGTCAACTATATTTTTATAAACTGTTTTAAAACATACCGTACACACTACTGTTTAAAAGCATATTGCAATAACTACACAGAGTCCTCGGTATTATTATTTTCTCTGTATATAATAATTGTGATTTTGCCTTACTTTAAAATTATAAGAAAACAGCTTATTAGATAGAGTAATAAAAATATTGAAGTTGTATTCTATAGCACTTCAATATATTCTATAATATTGAAGTTGTTGACGCTACTACTATTCTTAATGAATGTGTAAATAAAGATTAATTGTCAATTGTCTATAGCAATGACAATGATAGTATTTACACGTTTTGATGTGATTTTGATTTTCATGTTTTCTGTAATTGTTTAACATTACATGTAAATGTCTAAATATATATATATATCATAGATACTTTTGCAAGTCTGGCTAATTTGATGATACGTCTCCATTTGTAATTTGAAAATAAAGGTACAGAAATAAATAAATGAATGCATCAACAAAAATTCAACTCTCTGTTATTCTTTATCACAAGGAAATTATAGTGCATTACTCTAAATAAAAAATGTAATAAGAATGTATGCTTATTTTTTTACCTTTTGATTTAAAACTTAACAAATCTGTAAAACATACTTTTGGATCTCAAATCAATAGTTAATTTAATTCTTTAAAAAACAGTAGGTAGCCTACTATTTTAATACATTTAAAACATTTACACTTCCAATAACAGATTTTTATTTTCAAACATTTTATTTCAAATCGAGGTAGTTTTAGTGGTTTGTAGAATTTTTCAAATCACCTACGACACGTTTTTAGGTTAGCCCAACGTCGAAAGTGATGTTGTTTAGTGACAGTTGACAGACGTCCCATAAGATAACATGGCAGACAGGTGACATATCAGCTCATTAATTCGCATTTTATTGATTTAAATTTAAATTTATGAACATCAATTTATTAAAATATTGAAAATATAAAATACAGAATTGAAAACCGAAACAATATGAATTAAAAATCTATATCTGTACATGTTTAAGCGGATTCAATATTGTCATAGTCCAGTTAACCGATCTTTCGTAAATACACAAATACCATTAGCTGCTTCCAAACAAAACAGTTGTTACAACACCACTTGCGACGTTGCCACTTCGAAAGCCGCGGCCTGGAGTTAAAGGCGGCCGTGATTACGTGCTTAATAAAAGCACACTGGCTTGTGTCACGGCCACCTTTAACTCCAGGCAATCCAGGCCGTGGCCTTCGAAGTGGCAACGTCGCAAGTAAGGCTGTAACAGTTGTTTTGTTTGGAAGCAGCTAGGAGCTAATAATGGTATTTGTGTATTTACGAAAGCTTGGTTACTGGACTATGAAAATATATTGACTTCACTTTAGATGTACGGATATAGATTTTAAATATATATATTATTTTGGTTTTCACTTAGAATTAGAAGCCTAACCAACAAAGAAATCACTATAACTGCTTATCATGCAATTTTTTCATCACATATCAGATATGGCATAATAGCCTGGGGCTCTGCAAATGAAATCCACATCGAGAAAATAATAACCTCACAGAAGAAAGCAATTCGGATAATAGAACAAATCGATCAAGATGAACCACAAGCCCACTGCAAACCTCTTTTTATAAAAAACCAAATCCTAACTGTAATCTCCCTTTACCTTTTTGAAACTATTACCTCAATCAAATCAAATCCTCCCCAACTCAGAACCCAATGTCACAACTACAATATCAGAAACAAAACAAACCTAGACTTAGGGTACCATAGGCTAAACAAAACCAGCAAAACTCCAAACAACATGGGGATCAAAATGTTTAATCTCTTGCCAAAAAAACTCAAAGAAATAAGTGAAAATAAAGCTTTTAAAAACAACTCAAACAATACCTAATTGAACGACCATATTATAAATTAACTGAATTTATCAACGAACACAAATATAAACTAAACAACAAATAGGAAAGCAATGCTCAATTACACTCTCACACACATACACTATTACAAGAAATTTACGATTCCCCTGTCTACAAGGACGGCGGAGAAGACATCGATGGTAAATGGTAAATGTGACGTAGTGTTGCGCTGCCCACGCTGTAGCATGGCCTGTTTTTTAGTGTGGCCTTGCCTTGCTGCAGCCACAGAAAACGTACTACTGCAGCTTACCTGATTGGGCAGTAAAACATCTGAATCCCTGTAAAAATGTGACGTTCTTCATGGTAGGTAGCTGTTTTTTTTACCAGTTCTACACAGCTAACTTTCCTAGCTGAGATGGTAAAACTTTGTACTACACACTTTTTATGAAATAATTCCAGTTGTACTTGTCATGTGAACTTGGTTACGTGAAGGAGGCCATCGACAAGATCAATTAACACTGATCTGAATCTGGAGAACATCCAGCGTGAGCGTACTGCACCTGTGGCTGTGAACCTATAGTAGTACAGACATTGTGAAACGTTGGCTTGAGTATCACCATTGAATATTAGATATATTAATAGTTAAAGGTCTCTAGATAGCAATAACGGCTCCACGGGTAGGGGCTATGCTCCCCCACACCGAGAGCTAAACAAATAAAAAAAACTTACAGGTATCCATGCAAACATTTTATTTTATTTATTATAATTTTAGTACCTATAAAAGTTGCGACAAAAACCAACATTAAATGTGAGTACGGTATTGGTCAGCTGGGAGGAGGTGATGAACAGCTGAGCGTGGACTGCTCATGGTCAAGAGTTGGTTTGGTCAGAACAGGCCAACTGTTAATTTCACGAAAACTTAAGAATGGATATTTCTTTCAGAGCCAATAGTGACCCTCCATATCTAAAATTGAGAATGCATACTTGTGGTGGGGTTGTGACAGTATTCTCATAATCAACTTAAGAATCTTGGGAGCAGAACCTGTACCTCTTAACCTCCTGCTCTTTGAACTGTCAAATTAAGTATTTACATCTGACTTCAATTAATATATTTGTTATTTACATTCTTCCAATAGCTCCATAAGATTAACATACAAACTTAAAAGAACAGTGGGGCATAGCCCTAATATTAAGTACAAAACTGAACAAGCCTATGTTAATCGAGACAAAGAAAGACGAATACAACGAATCAAAAATAATTCAAATCGGTCCAGCGTTTCTTGAGTCATAAGTGGTGTAACTAACACGACTTTGTTTTATATATAGACAACGAGTACTCTGATAAATAGTTGTGTTATGCTAAAAAACTTTAAATTCGTCAACAGTGATATTTGAGGGATTTTTGTACGGGGTTTCCGAAGAGCAACATTTATTATTGATTTCTGAACCACATTAACAGTTGTTAGTATTGATCAGAACGAGTATTGCCGAAAATTTAATTCAAGTAATTATTACTTTGATGCACATCGACTTTGACACGCCGTGTATTGGTTTAATCTATGGTTAAATCAGAATTAAAAAAAATAATAATACCGCTGGTTGACTGCATGACTAGACCCAGTGCCAGTGGCCGCTTTGAGACCCAATCTAATCTGATCCTATTCTCCTATTCGTTTCATTCACTTTAATTCAATCACTTCATAGCCTGCCTGCGCCTGCGTCATTGTCATTCATTTATTTATCTATCATCTGATTCTGTTTTGTTTTTATGGGTGATTTTAAGGTTATTAAGTCTAAGAAAAGGAGAACTCGCAGTAGTAATACTAAAGTAGACAATTCTTTTCTTCAGAATTTCGGCTGTTACACTAGTACAGGACTTGAAGTTTTCTCTCGGGAAAGTGTTGTTGAGTAAGTCAAAATTTTATTTTATCCTATGCCTAGTTGATTGGTATATATTACAGTGCCCAATGTTCAACACAGTGCAAAGCCCTTTTCAGATAAGCCCAGACTTAGCAATAAGTAATGTGTGAGTAGGCTACAGTAATTTAAGCCTCCTCTAAGGCAAGGCCTAATGGGACAAATCTATCTACTAGCACTAGGTTGTGACTAGAATTGATGCAGCCCAGAGACATACCAGTTCACTTCACATGAGTGTTAAGTTATCAGTTCTAGCCACTAGACCACAGGTGTGACGTAAAGAATAATCTAAGGGTTGACAGTTTAATGGGAGGTCCTTCCATTTCATCTCCCATACTAGGGAAGTTGGAATTTTGGTAGTTTTACATTTTGGGGAATTCCGTTCGTAGTTTCTACCGTCAACCAGCCAATAATTCCAGCACCCCCAGTTAAAGAAACAAAATGGAAGGAGGATCTCCCACCAATATGATTGTAAACGACTGCACAGCTCTGAATTAAGGGACAGTACTCTTGGTGCAATGACAAGGGGCAGACACGTTCCTCAGGAGGAGCTCATAGACAGGATGCTGAAGTTCATTAAGCAACTCAGGTTTGAAAGACTCTGAAGTACCAGGTGGGGAGCGCAAAAGCCCATCAATGGCTGACGTGCAACAGGTCAAGGTCCGCCCCTATAGAATCAATCAATCAATGATTATAAATCGATCGACTGGACCGCGATAGTGACAATGGCCTGTGTTAACTTAAATACAAGTAAGTTATTGTCAATAGTTTGTGTTAGTGTGATAATATAAGGAAGATCCCCTGAAGATGCCACATAAGCTGGCAAAATGTATATAGAGTAAGTAATGTACAATTAGGCCTACAACCATAGACAAAAAGAATGAAATATAGACTGTCAGCCGTGCTGCGGTTACCATGGTTACCATAAGTTCCGGCGCACACCGCTGTAGTTTACGTAACGCGTACGCTGTAACTACCGTGGCGATCCCAGCGGTGTGCGCCAGAACCAATGGTAACCGCAGCACAGCTGACGGTCTATATTTAATTCTTTTTGTCTATGCTACAACTTAAGTACAGATACATCAATAATTAAGGTAAAACTTAATAAGTTTTAATATAGGCCTAATCAAAAATGGGGAGCGAGCTGGTCTAGTGGTTAGAGCACGGGACTTCAGTCCCTGAGGTACTGGGTTCAAATCTTGCCAAATCACAAATAATTTTACAAAAGTACCGATTTTATCTAAGTGATAGTGCCCGAGCCCCTAGGTCTCTAGCCTGAAGTAAGTATGTGAAAACAACCCCGGGCTCGTGCCTTGCGCCCTAGGACAAAAAAATATAATTAGACTAACAATCATAACACTTCTCAGAGCTTGTTTACTTTTTCGTCATGAAGGATCTTAGGGAATATCAACAGCTTTGTTTTGTTCGTAAATAGTTTACTTAGTACAGAGTGTCCACGGGTTTTAAAGTTTTGAAAATTGAAAATAACTCCCCAGTCTGGCTACAAATAATCCAATAATCAACCACGGGCTTACTGGAGTAACATGACACACTCATCGTGGTTTTTGAAAACGCTGGCTGATGGCAAACAAAACTGTGAACTGAGTTCTTCCTTCCAAGAGCAAAATGAAGGAAATAATTAAATGGCCGCAGTTTGATCCTAGGAATCAGTAGGCCTATTTACTTGCCAGACTATGAGTCCGTTAACACCTCACACTCAATAGTGTTACGATACATTTTTTTAACACGCATACACATTCCTTTAATCAAGCTGAACGATGTATTAAGATTCCTGATCATCATGTGTGTATAACCGGTTATTTCCGCTATAAACTAGATATACTATCATACACACAGTTCGAAAATCCATAATTGTAAAAAAATATACTAACCACACTCAGACAGACCATACTTAGGGTTAGTTGGAGGGAGATAGTTTAGCTATTAGGTAGCCTTTGTCCTGAATACAGGAGGATCCAATGACGTAAGACCAAGCTCATCAGTGATCACTGGGGATATCATGTATCAGTACAGTCACTCTTGAGGCTTACTAGTCTAATGACATTGTCTGAAATAGAGAGATACAATACTCACTGCAATCAGACATAGCGAAAACTTTAAAATTTATTTGAACGTGTTGGTGACATATTTACGTCAACTTTAAACTAACCATAAATATTTTTTTCAGGAGGGTTACATCTGCAAAAGAAGAGATAAAGTCTTCTGAGTTTTTTCGGCTGTTTACTAAGGACCTTCTTGAGAAAAATGAAGATTTAAGTAGTGTTGATATAATTACATACGGACTTGGAAATTTTTCACAGTGTGTGTCTTCAAGGTATCAGTTTGCTTTTATTCTTGCTCTTAAAGATATATGCAAAGGAGATTCACTGTTGTATGATCCAGTTTTTATTGCAGAAGAAATTGAAATAATCAAGAACTTTAACTGTTTTATTATAGCAGAAAACGAGGAGGCAAAACGAAAGATCAACAAAAAGACCCTATTTTTTCTACCCCACTGTCCAAAACAGTTACTAAACAATTTACTGTGGAAAAACTGGACCACAAGTTTAAAACATTGTATAATTGTAGGCAACAGCATTAACAAGATCGTTGAGTCACATTCAGATAGGTTTTTAAAACAAAATCTAACCTACGTGTATCACGCTTCCTCTTTTGTGAATGAAATAACAATAAATAACTGTTTCAAATACTCTGATATCTTTAATGATTTGTCAATTCAGTGGTTTTCCGAGCAGAATATATCAGAACTTAATTGTAACATTTCTGAATTAAGTCTAGAGCCTTCGTACAAAGAAGAAGATATTGAGTTCATAACATATTCTTTAAACGACTATTTAAGTATCAAGCAATAAATAATAAAACATGTCAGTTCAAAATATTCGTACATTGAGGAATCTTGCATCAGAGTTACGTACGGCTAGTTCAACGGGAAAGTTAAAAGATTCTCCAGCAATTGAGTTCATTTTGAATCAATATAAGAAATTTAAAGTAACTGATCAGCAATTGTGTAAAGCTCAAGAAGAAATGAGATATATGTCAGAAACTTACTTGTGTTACATGAAAAGCTCTCGAAAGTATATGGAACTCCATAAAAGTTATCAAGGGAAAGGTGAGCGGACGACTGAAGAAACTGCCAATTTAGTTGGATTCAAACTTCCTCATGATCCTAAGTAGCTTATGGCATCATGCAGATTGAAAATAAATTTGTCATTAGTCTTCTAGTTTGTTGCTTGTTATTGCAAAGATCTTGTTGTATGGTTAAATTACAAAACTTAAAATGCCCGTTTGAACATTTTGCATTGGACAGGATGCTCAGTTGCCATCCTTGGCTTGGATGTGAAGAGTTAAATAAAGTTGAATTTATCAAGCATTTAGGGAAAGGGGCTGTTAAAAATGTGTCTTTAGTGAAATGGAATGATATCCCAATTGTGGTTTCACTTCCAGCCAATGCTGAATATATGGAAGATTTTAGAAATGGAATAGAGGCATTAAAGTCATTAAATCCAAGCCAACAAGTCGTGCAGTTGATTGGGTATTGTGACGAGCCAGTTGCCCTTTATACTGAATATCATCCATTCGGAAATGCTGCTGATTTCTTCACACAGTTTGGCTTAAAAAACCTTACAATCGGCCAAAGCTTGGGATTCTGCCTCCAGTATTCAGAAATTTTGAGATATTTACACAACCATACAAGTGGACCAAGGGTATTTTGTGATTCTAACAGTTTAGATAAACTTCTGAGCCAGCTACTGGTTACGTCTCAGTTAACTCTCATCTTGAATGACGCTGATGCCTTACCAGTGGTGTTGGATTCTTCAGGGATAAAATGTGGCCACAGACAACTGGAAGGTACGTTTGTTGCTCCTGAGCAACTGTGGCATATAGAAGGCGAGTTCAGTGATGATCTAATGCCTGGCTACAATGAAAAAACTGACATCTGGAAAGCTGCATCCGTATGTGATTATTTTCTAAGACAGTCAGATGATGGAGAGAGTGTTCGATACAGGCTTTTTGATTTGCATTCCCGATGTAAACGTCATGATCCCAAATTAAGACCATCAGCCAATGAATTGAGAAATGAATATATTTCAGTTATAAATGAGTACAACAGCCATTCTGAACTTTGATTTTTGCATAATGTGCTATGAAATGTAAATAAAATAATTGTATCTAAGTTTCTGAATAATTTAAATCCTCTTCTAAAAAATAGTTTTTATATGTACAATATATGGTTAATAAACTGGTAAATGACTAGCCAAATCAAATCTGCAAGTATGCTTTTTCTTATGTTGACAGTGTAAAATAATGAGATCAAACTTGCTGACTAATATCAGTTTTGTAGTTGTAAGTAGAATGTATGAATGTACCATCGCCAATTAGTAAAATTTTTCAATTTTAATATGGTTAATGGACATACCAAATGTTCTGTCTCAGCCTTTATTTGTACTGGTTAGATCTGTGACGGAAAACTAGGGTTCGTTGGTATGTGCATTATCAAACAGCTCTGGTGACCAAATCACAATGAATAATACTTACTCAAAAAGCTATGTATATTTCAAATCGTTCACAGCAGAAAGGGTAGTACAAAATACAGATGGTTAAAATAAAAGGTAATGCTTTATTCAAATTGCAGGAAACGTTTAACACTCTCAGTCTATGAAGTTCCTTTCTCTCATCCAATCGTCAGAGAGAAATTTGGTTAGGTAGTTGCGGACATTATCTGGCAATATAACAACTACACGCTTTGAAGCATCTAAAGATTTTGCATATTTCAGGGCACCACAAACTGCTGTTCCACTGCTCCCACCTGAAACAAATCAACTTGTGTAGTTTGGAGTAACTTACTTGTACTTGTCAATATAATAGTATATTTTTTCATCGCTAGGGCTAAAGTAACTGTTTTTGATCCAAGCTCAAGTTTTAAGATCGAGGTGAAGCTGAGGTCAGAAAATGAGCGAGGGTTGAAATACCACTTTTTGTCCATTTCATGAACTATATTTTTTGTCAAATTGCACCATTATTTAAAAAAATTACTATGTTACAAAACTAAAATAGTTTTCATTTAAAGTAACCTGTCAAAATTACCTACTTCTAACTTATTTTCAATATAATTTGCAAATGGAAACAAGCAGCTGTTTTGTAAGTCGTTCAAATGTTTTGTCTATTACGATTGTATTAGTGTACATTATAATATGGATAAGTCAAACTATTTACAATAAGGCAACATTAAACTACAATCGATTAAACAGTCAAACATACTTTCGATTCATGCGATTGTTTACAATCAAAATTGACAACTGATTAGAGAACAGCTGATTTTTACTCCCTAGGGGCTAAAACGCTTTTTACTCCCAAGAGAGTAAAAATGCTACTTTTGACCCGCAACACATGCATTAAAAACAGCTGTTTTTGTCACAATATGAGAAACAAAAAAATATTTATGAAGCCTATATTTTTTAGTAAAATTATAATTAGTAAAATCAATTTGAAATAAGTTGTAGAAGTTGTAGGATATGGAAAATACTTTGTATTTATAATGTAACACTTCTATTTATCATTATTTACATTTGTTTCATATAAAAGGGTTATCAGTTTAAAATCACAACTTAAATTAATTTGTTCAATACCAAAAGTGTTTCTATTTTAGTTATTACTTATGGACAACAGAGGTATTCAACTTCACTTTTACCATTTTAACTTAATCCTCCAACATTTTTACCTATACATGTTCAAATAAAATTTCAAATAAGTCTTGTTTTTATGGAAATTTATTGTTAGTGTGCCTATAATGTCATTGGACTGGATACTGAAGTTGTATAAATAGTCAAAGATAATGTGTAAACATTTTGCACTAACTTTGTTTGGAGAACCAATGATGGTAAAATAAAAAAATAAATTCATTTACTTACCACACAATAGACCCTCATCTCGAATAAGTCTTCTTGCCATAGTGAAAGCTTCTTTGTCACCCATTTTAATCCATTCATCAACCACATTTCGATCTATAAAAAAATGTTATAAAACAAACAATGTTATACATTTTTAAACAGAAGCTCATATTAGTTTTTTGATACATTAATATGGAACCTTTGATTAACTCAATTTCTATGTGTCCTTAAATCCCTAGCCAATAAAAGGTGATTAGAATACTTACTCAAAATAAACTTGGTAAATAAATATTAATTAATTATTATAAAATTTACTGAGCATTTTGGTAATAAAACCTACATCTTTTCTATATTGGAGCAAACGATTTGGGATTTCAGTAATTTGAAAATAATATGACCTTAACCCCATCCCCCTTTAAATCTCAGCTTGGACTTGTTGTATTTATTTTATAAAATGCTGTAACATATACTGATCTGGATCTACAGATAAAAAAATTAAGTTTACACACATAAGGTTATCACTACATACACACAAATCAATTAATTGATTGTTGGCTGTGCAAAAATCATCCCTTGTTTTGCCCTTTGCTGTCCAGGAGAAGTGTTTCTATGCTGGTGTTTATTTACCACATCGGCATTTTTTAACCTTTTTTGTAAGGTAACGGTCCAAACCCTAGTCTTCATAATTTCATCATCAAAAATAGAATCATAACCTTTTTATCTTCTTACTATGTAGGCTTTTGTGGCCGGTGTCATTAGAGTTAATGGTGTTTTTCGGGGTCAACTGTGTCGTCACTACAGTATCACCAGTAGTACACCAGTGGCTAGGCTGAGTAGTGACGACAAGGTTGACACCAAAGAACACCATGAACTCATAACCTTTAACTTCAACCCAGACCTATTGTTAACAAATAGACGATATAATTAAATTTCCTAACCAAAACCCACTCCTTACAATTGTGCTGTAAAAGATCGAGCAACTAATGGACGATATGGTGTATATGTTCCTGATCATTGGGCTTTAAATAAATGATCCTGGCTAATGAAACAGCTGATCTTAGTCAGTAACAAAGCTACACATATCATCTCACTCCATTCTACACTCATCCTTCACTCATATTTGGGTTAAAATACGCACCTAAGTGGCGTCCCCATCTTAATGATTGATAATTGATAGTACTAGTTAACTGATTTGTTGTTAGATGCCACCACCTACCAAGTTGCTTCTTGACAAGCGGGTCTCGTCGAACCGTAGTCTTTTTATGCATGAGGAATGCTCATCAAACCGCTGTGAAGGGTTAGTGAAATTTTTAAACATTGTTTAATGTTTTTATTTTATGCCTTTGTATGTGTGTGAATTTAATTTATTCATGATGATGATAAGTGTTCAGCAAAATTAAGGAGACAGAAGAGTTGACAATGGGATAACAGACCCCAAAACTTTAGTCATCTGATAAAAATGTATAGCATTGATGATCGTAATAGGTTAGTCAACCTTTTTATTAAATATTTTATCCATACATTCTGTTATAAAGACTTTTTAACCTCTTTTATCCTGGCTAACTTAATAGTTCCTGGTTACACTTGAATATCAATAGAAGTTTATAGTTATGAAAATATAAATCCAATCAACAATACACATCTATCAATAGGTTACCTATAACAGTTGGTATAAAATCGTAACCGATGCCTTCTACATCGTAGTAATCAGTGTCGCTGTTGTTGAGCTCCTTAGGCAATGCCAGGATGGAGCCATAAGGGTCAACACCGACCACCCGCACATGAGGCGCGTGGTCTTTGAAGTAGCGTCCAATACCAGCAATAGTGCCACCTGTGCCTGTTCCAATCACCACAGCATCCAACCGGCCCTCACATTGCCGCATGATCTCACGAGCTGTACCATCATAGTGAGCCAGTGGGTTTCCTTTGTTGCGATACTGTAAACCAAACAAATAACTCAGTAAAAAAATAGGCACCGAATTCCCTTCCAATGTCTACTGACGGGGAAAGAGCAAAGTATGTTTCAAAATACAAATTGACATAAACATTCTTAACAAATTAAACTGACTGTAAAAAAAATATTCTAATGATATTTTAATAACTTTTGAAGTGAAGTTTTTGTATATCAATCACATTCCTCTGTGTCTGATGGGTGATGAAAGTTGGTGATCTACCTGATCTAGTACTACTGCATCTGGAATGTCTTTTGCTATTAACTGCGCCTTGGCCATGAGTCCGTCTGGTGCGTAGGAGCCAGATGATATGGGAGTGCGGACCACCTCCGCGCCCAGGGCTTGCAAAGTGTACACCTGCACATATAAACATTGAGCATTACTAAACTGACTTTTGGTTTGAATCACAATCGGGTTGCTTTAGAAAATATTTATAAAAAATATGACTTTTGTAATGCTACATTTTGCTTAAGTGTATAATATATTGTGTATAAACTACCTCAATCACGGTGAAATTGTCAACTTCGCTGGTTCCTTATTTTTTAGAAGCCAATTTAATTGTAGAATGTGATATAAAACAGTTAGTTGGATATGATTGTTGTTTTAGTTTATTATACATTAAATGTATATTTTTTGAACATATTTTATGTATTTTAAAACTTTTACCCATTCAAAAGAAATAGGCCTACTTTAAATTTTGGTTTTGTTTCTGCAAATTTTACTTTAGCTCATTAAATTTAGCCTAATGTTTAATGGGCTGTTTATGTTCAGGACATGAATTATACTCATGGTTTATTGTATATTAATTTGCCCTGACTGCGCTCACTTCAACATCATTGCAGACAAAGTAAGAGAGATATGATGCATATAGACTACCGCTTCTGGACAGCCCTAAGTACTAATCATTATTCCTTTGGCTTGCTGCAACCTTTTAGGGAAAACGGTAAAGGCAATCTTGTGTTTGTAATCACTCTGGGGAACACTGTTTTAGTCACTGTTGTGCAATAGAAAAGATTAAGGAGTAAACTTACCTTCTCGTTGGACATTTTCTGACTCATGACGATGATGCACTTGTAGCCCTTGACAGCCGCAGCCATGGCGATCCCGACCCCAGTGTTGCCTGACGTAGGCTCCACCAGGGTACAACCAGGTTTGAGACGACCCTCAGCCTCCGCCTCCTCCACCATCCGAAAACCTATGCGGTCCTTGAGGCTGCCCCCAGGATTCAGAAACTCACATTTTGCCACTGCATAAAAGGCAAAAAAATTAAAATGCTTGTACCTGTCAAAAATATGCAGTATGAATATACATAAATACAGTATATACAATTTAGGTACTGATTAGACCTTTATAACCAAAAACACTTACGAATTTCACATTGTACTCCTTCTTCCTTTGGAATCCGGTTGAGCCTGACCAGGGGAGTTTGTCCTATGGCATGCAGAATACTGGGCAAAATATGTGACCGGTCATGCCTATAAAATTAGACAAGAGGTTACAGTTATAAATATAAGAACTTACAGCAAAGAATAACGGTACTATACAACTTCACATCTACATCTATAATAACGTACTATGTAAACTTGGCTAACAAACAGCCGGTCTTCTTCAGTAACAAAGCTACACATCATCTCGATTGTAATATTTAGCTGAAAAAACTCACCAAAGTTTTGTGTCATTGTACTTGGCACACTATACTGGTAGACTTATAAATCACCTCCGCTCAACTACAGTAGACAATATAAAACCCTGAATGGCCATGAATTAGTTTTTTAGTCCTAGTTTTTTAATCCGTTAGGTGGACAAGGTCATAAGATTTTCAGGGGTGAGCACTATATGCTAGTACTAAATGTGAGAGAATTCTGCAATAGTGTTGGATGAAGAGAGTTACTTACTGATCTATATGATTGTGTGGGTCTTTGTCCCTTGTCCCTGGCCTCCATGTACACTTGCTGGGCAAACCTGGGTCAATGAAACCTTCGAAAGGCAGCTTAGGTGATGGTACCGGTAACTCATTAGATTCCATTCTGTAACATTGGATAGCAGTGGTAAAATAATACACCATTGACAGTAGTAATGTAAATATATACTGGTCAGTTATCTGGTCGTTTCTGCTCATTAAGTGTTCTCTACAAACTTTGTTGGCTTTATTTTGGAATTTATTTGACATTTGTACAGTTTGTAGAGTACCACATCACTTTTGTGTACAAGTCTAGTTGCAAGTGACCTAATCGGAGTGCAAGCAATAGCACACACATGTAAATTCATTTGTTTGGTAAATGGTTTTTGTTTAGGTTGGAATAATTTGCTTGTAAAGATTGGTGATATAAAAATATTTAGATTACCTTAACAAGTTATTTTTCTTCTAATTTAAAATTAACAAAGTTTTGGGTTGTTTATGTTTAATTTTTCTTTTCTAGCACCAATAGTGCATTCCTAAGTGAGATAGTAAGCTAAAATCCAAGAAATAATACGTAAGGCAAGAAATATATAGTAATTAGGACCTACGCAGTACATTGGTATTGATAAATTCTGAGGCCTTTAAGTCCAAAACATTACTACTGTGTAGTTATATCTAGTTGCACAAAAAAACCTTAACTATGATCCACCAAGTCCCCAAATCCAGACACAAAAGATGCATTTGTTTTCTCAACAACTCTTTAGAGTTCTTAACAAAGAAATTAATTTAATTCTAGCGAATTTCCCTATAGGGAGCTATGGTGGCACTATAAGTTCGCATAACCGTACCATGGGAACGGGGTTTACAGGGGTTTTTGGGATAAAAAATGGATTTTCTAACTTTTGGCCCTAAAACAAAAATTTCCCAATTTCTCTCTAGACCTTTTTAAAGAGCTTAAAAAACAAATAATTTAGTATATCAAAGTGTGTTTGTACGGTTATTGGTACCTAACTTAGAAAATTGAAAAAATAGTAAATTTAAAATTCCCATGTTATTCTTATGGAGAATATTGTAAAATGTGTAGCTTGCTTGTTTATGGATATATTTTGATCAAACTTGGTAAATTTATTTATTTTATATTAAGCTATTAATATAAAAAAAATACACTTTATTAGTTTCCTTGTAGCAGCAAACCTATAGGTACTCGTTAAACGAAAAACCTTTATGTTATTAATATAGATTTAAGATTTAATTGGAAATCAATTCAGACAAATGTAAATTCGCTTAGCCGGCAGGTTTGCTGCGGCGGGGGTATTTTATTATTAAAGTCAAAGAGGCATTTAAATTTAAATTTTAAACAATCTGTATTACATAAAGCGAGATTTAAAGATATTGTACATTGAACAGTGTCAAACAAAATTGTTTCTTCCCACTTCAGTTGACAAATCACAATCAGAACTCTGACCTTAAGATCCATTCATAGAACGATTAAGAGGAAAAGGTTAAGTGCAATGACGTACATGAGCCCAGGTCCACAACAAATGCTCATGTAATGACTCAGTCTCTGACACAGTAATAATAATTTTAGAAGTAAATTCAAAACTAGGGCTTTAAACCAGGTGGGCTGTACTGAGAGGGGTGACATTTCTTTCTAGCTATTTTACAAATATTATATTATATTAAAAATCAAATCCTAAATCTTTGTACATACCTTAAAACTATCACAATCATAAAACCCATCCCTATTGACCCCATTTAGGAATTGATATATAATACATACATTTATTCCAGCAATTGAAGCCATTCTTGTGGTATTAATTTTTATTATTTATTGGTGCCTTAATTTTTTTTTCAATGTTTGTACGGCTATGCTACTGATCACCACCATGTAAAATAAAACTAAATTCTTTTAAATACCAGATTTTTATTCCATACAAAACAATATTTGACAAAGAAATTTGAAAATAGTTAATCAGTAATTAATTAATTAAAAGAACAAAGAACATCCATTCAACAACCATAACTTTAAAAAAAAAATTGTATAACATTAACTTAAATAAAAGAAAATCAATTAGAAATAGCTCAGATATTACATTTTTTAGTTGTAAAATGGGGGAGAAAAAGGCGAAAGGTAGTCAGGTTTGTCCCATTTTACAACTAAAAATCGTTATTTTGACCCAAGGAATTACTACGTAAATTATGTCCCCACATTTTTTGAACACCCTGTATAATACAACATATGTATCAAAATTGCTCTAAAGTAGATGTGACCAAATTCGACAAGTTTATTGTATTAATGAATTAGAAAAAAACATGTAACAAATCTATTAGAACAATTGGATTTTTAAACGAAAATAATTTTAGCCCACCATCTACATTTAAATTTAAGTTAAATATCTATTTTGTTCATTCATGAGATGAAAATATTATTTTAAGCATATATATAAATATATATATAAGAACAAAAAAGTATGCAAGTAAGTTAGGTACCAGTGAAATGTTTTTTTCTCTCGATTAATATAAAAATTCTAAAGCTATTGGGATTACTTAGATACATTTTGCAGCTTTAGATTTCAGTTTTAGCGAATTTCCCATATAGGGAATAAGCTATTACCGTAGTACTCATGGTAAGACCTGGACGTGGGACCGATTTTTTTTTTCGTTTTGAGGTCCCTAGAGGCCAAAAACACCATCCGTACAAATTCATATATATATATATATATTTATCTAATATATAAAATTCTCGTGTCACAGTGTTTGTCTGCAAACTCCTCCGGAACGACTTCACCGATCGTTATGAAATTTGGTGTGTGAATTCTGTAGGTATGCGAATAGGAAGTAAACTATTTCCCGTTTCGAAATTCTTAAAAGGGCTCCGCCCCAGTGGCTCTGGAGTTTCCCATGTTAACCTTATGAGAAATGGAATTAATGAATCTTAACAGCTGTTTCAATTAAATAGCATTAAAGTTACAAGGATTACCAACAGGGTGCAGCACTATTATTTCTTTTACATTTATGACAACAGCTAATTTGCAACCAAAAGGTGAGTGAGCGTAGCGAACGAACTTCAACCTGGAGGCGAGTGAGCGTAGCGAACGAGCTAACCTGAAGGCAAGTGAGCGCAGCGAACGAGCTCCAACCTAAAGGTGAGTGAGCGTAGCGAACGAGCTTCAACCCAAAGGTGAGTGAGCGTAGCGAACGAACTTCAACCAGGACGTGATTGAGCGATGCGAACGAGATCATCTTGAAAATTAAACGTAACGGTACTTTCTTTCCATCGGTCTGTCTTAGGGGAAACCTATAACTTAGGCGATACGAAGTTCGCTGGGTCAGCTAGTATATATATATATATTAGGGATGGACGGGATTGAATTTTTAGTTCGGGACGGGACGGGACGGGATTTTTTTCTTTGCATAAAAAGAAAGTACTGTATTGCAGTTACCAAAAAAAGACATACGAAATCAATTTTTACCATTTGTGGCACTGATCTATAAAAACCAAAAAATGGGTAACAATTTACAGGTACCCATAGTAACTTGTGACTCGCGGGTCACGGGGTGATCGTCTGTATGACTCACGGTCACGGCGAGATCGTCGTCATGACTCGCGATCACGGCGCGATCGTCGGTATGACTCGCGGTCACGGCGAGATCGTCGTCATGACTCGTGGTCACGGCGCGATCGTCGGTAGGACCCCGCGGTCACGGCGCGATCGTCGGTATGACTCCGTGGTCACGGGGTTATCGTCGGTATGACTCGCGGTCACGGCATGATCGTCGTTATGACTCGCGAACACGGTTCGATCGTCAGCATGACCCGCGGTCACGGCGCGATCGTCGTCATGACTCGCGGTCACGGCGCGATCGTCGGTAAGACTCGCGGTGACAGCGTGATCGTCGGTATGACTCGCGGTCACGGCGCGATCGTTGGTATGACTCGCGGTCAAGACGCGATCGTCGTCATGACTCGCGGTCACGGCGCGATCGTCGGTAGGACCCCGCGGTCACGGCGCGATCGTCGGTATGACTTCGCGGTCACGGGGTTATCGTCGGGATGACTCGCGGTCACGACATGATCGTCGGTATGACTCGCGAACACGGTTCGATCGTCGTCATGACTCGCGGTCACGGCGCGATCGTCGGTATGACTCGCGGTGACAGCGCGATCGTCGGTATGACTCGCGGTGACAGCGCGATCGTCGGTATGACTCGCGGTCACGGCGCGATCGTCGGTATGACTCCGCGGTCACGGGGTTATCGTCGGTATGACTCGCGGTGACAGCGCGATCGTCGGTATGACTCGCGGTCACGGCGCGATCGTCGGTATGACTCCGCGGTCACGGGGTTATCGTCGGTATGACTCGCGGTCACGGCGCGATCGTCGGTATGACTCGCGATCACGGCTCGATCGTCAGCATGACTCCGCGGTCACGGCATGATCGTCGGTATGACTTGCGGTCACGGCGCGATCGTCGGTATGACTCGCGATCACGGCGCGATCGTCGGTATGACTCGCGGTCACGGCGCGATCGTCGGTATGACTCGCGGTCACGGCGCGATCGTCGGTAGGACTCCGCGGTCACGGCGCGATCGTCGGTATGACTTCGTCTCCTGCGTTCGCGGACCTATCGCTCGCAATAACGGCGTTATCGGCACTCGCGAAGCGGAAAAATCGCCGACGATCGGACCAAATCCCGTCCCGAAAAATTCCCGAGTCAAATGTAATCCCGTCCCGATAATCGGGAATATTTTTTTCCCGAAAAATTCCCGAAATTTCGGGACCAGTCCATCCCTAATATATATATATATATATATATATATATATATATACTAGCTGACCCGGCGAACTTCGTATCGCCTAAGTTATAGGTTTCCCCTAAGACAGACCGATGGAAAACCCGGCAGACGTTGTCTGTTGTCTTGCCTTTGACTATTTTTAATTTAAGTACCGTTACGTTTAATTTTCAAGATGATCTCGTTCGCATCGCTCAACCACGTCCTGGTTGAAGTTCGTTCGCTACGCTCACTCACCTTTGGGTTGGAGCTCGTTCGCTACGCTCACTCACCTTTAGGTTGGAGCTCGTTCGCTGCGCTCACTTGCCTTCAGGTTAGATGTTCGCATCGCTC